GCAACATCTGCATCTGCTGTACCCCAGGAATTGCAGATTTTGGGGTAGGAATATCCACAGGAGGAATTCTCACTGCAATAATTGATTTTTTTCTCCATGGAATCACTCATTGCTGCTGGTTTTGGGATTAAAAAAGAGCTCCTGACACCACTTCCACCTTCCCAGGGAAGGAGCCTGAGAGGAAAAAACTTTGGAAAATTTATTTTCTCATGAGAGAAAATCAGGAGAAAAATCCACTCTCATCCATTAAGGGCAAGTAGTGACAATCAACTTGAAATATTTAGTTATTTTCAGGTTCTTAATTAATAAAATCAACCCAAATCCTTCAAATCCTCCAAAATGGAATGACCTGAATTCCCTGAATTTTATTTTTTTTTCCCTTTCCCTATGATATATCTCTAAGCGCTGAGGGAAATCTGTGTAACCTGGTCAACATAGACCTGAAAATTTAGTAGTAGTAATAGTAATAATAACAATAGTAAATAATTAGAAGAAAAAGAAGTGTTTTTTTATGTTGGGTTTTTTGTTTGGTTTTAGTTTTTTTGGTTTATTTTTTGGGTTTTTTTGCATCTCTTTTTCCTCCTAAACAGCTGGAAAAACCCCCCAAGTTCCCAAGGTGACAACCACGAGTAAAGAAGTGAAGGGTGATGTCACTGCAGACATCAGAACTGGGTTCAAAAAGCAGCTTTTCAGCTTCAGGAGCTCAGCCCTTGTCCCTTAAATCTGAATTTCAGCTGAACGTGAAGAATATCCTCAGTGACCTTTGGATTTCCGGGTCCCAGGGTGGGGCTGCTTCAGGCTCCAGCAGATTTTGGTGGATTTAGAATTTAAATTTTAGGATTTTAAGTAGATCTGCCTGCCAGCCCTCCCAGCAAATCTTTCTGGCGTTGGGTCTTGATCCTGAAATTGGATTTGGAAGGAAGGTGGCATTCCTGGACAAGGGGAAATCGTGCAGGTTTGTCATTCACATTTCCTGAAAAATCCCTTCACCCAGGATTTCTCTCCTGGGAAGCTGAGGAGCCTCAGAGAAAAGGAAAACAATAATTATCTCGTTGCTTCTCCTGCGTTTTGCTGCTTTGGAATGAGGTTGGCGATTGTTTCGTTGGATTCATGTGAATTATTTTGACTTTTTGGCCAATCAGGGCCAAGCTGTGTTGAGGTTCTGGAGAGAATCACAAGTTTTCATTATTATCTTTTTAGCCTCCTGTAAGTATCCTTTCTGTGTTCTTTAGTTTAGTTTAGCATTCTTTAATATAATATAGTATCACAAAATAATAAATTAGCCTTCTGAGAAGATGGAGTCAGACTCATCATTCCTGCCTTCACCAGGGCACCCTGGTTCTTGTTGGGGCTGTCTGGAGTGGCTCCTCCTGTGCTGGCTGGAATGAGAAATGGAATTCTGTGACATCTGTGCCCGTGTGCACTGGGCAGAGTTTGTTTTAGAAATGGGATTTCACTGGGAAATAAAACCCAGGGGTATTTCTGAGGTTGAATTGAACTGCCTGCAAACTTTTGTTTTCTATTAATAATACCAAAATATACATTCTGTTTATGGATTCTATCCATTATTAAATTAGTCTGGTAATAATAGAGAAATATAATATTTTATTAATAATATAGAACAGTACAGAATATACAGCAATATAATATTGCTTGATTTTGTTGGAGCAGTGTTGTTTTGTCCCACCTTTTTCCGGTTGGGAAATAGGCCTGGAGTGTGCAGGAATATCTGGAGTGCTGCTGAAAATGAGTAATGTGGCAGGATTAAATAGGTCTTTTATTGATGTGGTCTGGAGCTAAACTTGGAGAAGAAAACCACTGAAAATCAGAATTTTCTCTCCTGTGGTGGTGTTCACTCTCAGGTTACTAATGGCCGGATCCACTGAGGTATTTGATTGAATATTCTGTGCATTCTATATTGTTAAACCTTAATTATCTGTACATTTAATTTTTTGAAAACAAGTCTCAAGGAAAAAAAAAAAATTATTCCTGTAATCTCTTTTCTCCAGAGCCATATTAAATTCCAGTTTCCAGCCTTGCACAGGTGAGGGGGAGATTTAAGCCAGTTGCAGGAGATGTATAAAATTCCAAACTCAACTTCTGCACATCCAGAGCTTTGGCAGAGCACACTTCTTTGAGGAAGTGGAAAACTGGCAGAAATTTAATCTCATTCATGGATTTTTAGACAAAATAAATTATTTTCCACACGGGCCAAATCCATCCACCCACGATGGGGGATTCTGGATTTTAACCTGAATGTCAGTTTGAGCTGTGAAAGGAATGACGCGCTTTTCATTCCGTGTTTTCAGCTCCCAAATCCTTCACTGCAGTGATGCTTCCCAGCTTTATCGTGCTCATCAGGGATTATTTTCTTTCTGAAATCACCTGGTGATTTCTTTCTGAAATCACTCAGACACCTCCCATGCCAACATCCTCCCCCGAGCTAAACCATGTTGTGCTTCACTTTTACAAGATCTCAGATAAAGAACTCGGTAATTTCTTGTAATCAAGGCCAAATTTTAGTTCCAAGTGGGGCTGCGGGTGCAGCCAAAGGAAATTTGTGGTGGTTGGAGATCCGGGGGATGAGTTCACTTTGATTCTGTCACTGCTGCTCCTTGCAGATGTCTGTCAGTGTGATGTAAAATCCGTTTTTCTGGGGTGTGTTGTGCTAATAATAACATGCTGTGAGGCAAAAAGTGAAAAAATACAGACTTAACTCAGCGGGGAAAAAAAAGATAAAACTTCCACGGCAAAGAGTTTTAAATTTGCAGGCCTGCAATAATTTTTGGGCTGCTTTAACCTGCAAAATATTCACTTTTCCCCACCTTTTCATTTTAAATGTGTCTGCTTGTTTCCTGAAGAAAATTCTGGGGTTTTTAAAGATTTATTCTGCCACTTCCTCACTGGCTGAGTTTTGCAGGAATTAAATGGTGTCAGAGAACAGGAGAAGGGGGCAGCCAGGGAGCTCTTTTTGCCCTTTGGGCCAAGCTGAATTTCCTTCGTGGCCCTTGGGATTGGTGGCAGGTGTTGGGTTTTACCTTTCCAGCCCCGAACAGAAAAATTCCTTTCTGCCCGTGGGTCTCCCGTGTCCCGAAGAGCAATTTAACAAGCTTAACAGAAGCACTTGCAATTATCTAATAGCACCTGAAAATTGCTTGCTCAATGACAGCAGGAAGCTTCATTTGCATTCCATATCTGATGTTCCATCTGCTAATCCTCCACCGAGCCTGCCAGGAAAAACAATGTCAACAGACTGGAATTTTATTAAAAATCAGAGAGCAGGGATGCTGCTTCCCCACTTTTCCATCGCACCCTGCAAGGTTCCAGCCTCCTGGAATATTTGAATTCCTTCAGCCATTGTGTTCCTGGCTGTTTTCTTGAAATGGGGTTTAGTCACAGGGTTTTTTATAGCACTCAGCCCTTCCCTTTTGGGTTGTCTTCCCTCCCCCAGGAAAGCTGGAGCTCCCTGTTTGCTCCTGTTTATATAAGTTAATCTTCCATGTTGTGACATTTTTCCCCCCCTCGTTAATGAGCGCTCCTAATTGGGCCTAATGAAACATTTACTCGCTCTGCTAGACAATATTATCTGCCAGCTCCACAGAGATAAGGCTCTGTGAAGCAAACAAGCTTTTGAAAGATGCTGGGTGAGATATGAAAGCCGTTTTTGGGCCAATATTTTCTCGTTTGGTCGGAGAACGCCCTGGTGGTGCAGCTGTGTAACCAAGCCATGGCAAACAACATCCATTATTTATTGGCCTGCTTGGCAAACAAGGACACCTTTGACTGCATCAGGTTGGGAGGTCGGTTTACTGAGCCAGAGTCACCTTTTTTGTGTTTCTATTCCCTCAGATTTTCCATTTGGCGCGGGGGAAAGCCAGGGGAGCCTCGGGAGGGGAGCAGGGGGGAGCCTGGCTCTGCAGCAAACTGGCACAAGTGGAATTGTGCCTTTTATTTCTGCCCAGGTGCTTCAGATCCAGTTACAGCCCATAAAAGGCAGAGTTTCCCTCAGCCAGCAGCAAATACAGGACAAGGAGAGGAGTCCTGGAAATGTTGGAATGATTCAATTCCCTCCCTTCCTGTAGAGTTAAATGGAAATAATTTAAAAATTATTGAATTTTGTAATTTTCACTGTAATTTTGTGAAACTCTTGATCAAAACTGGGTTGCTTGAGCTATTCCAAGGATATAATAAGGATATTCCAAGGATTTAAACGTCCCAGGTCAGGTTGGAAGGGCTTGGAGCAAACTGAAGGCGTGGAAGTGGAACTGGATGAGCTTTAAATTCCCTTCCAACACAAACCCTCCTGGAATTCCAGGATAAACAGTTATTTGCAAGGGATTCAGGAAGGAGAGTGAAGACTTGAGGCACAGAAAAGACTCCTCTCATCTCATTACCAACATCCCTGAAGCATTTTTAATGTTAGGAGCCTTCCTGGAGTCAGGAAATCTGCATCCCTGATGGTGCAGGGGCACAGGGGTGAGGTGATTGGGATCAGGAATGTGGCTCTGGAAACTTGCAGCCTTGGAATGACCTGGAATTCCAGGAGTTGGATCAGCCCCACACACTGGGGGGAAATGTTAGTTCATCAGCCCCTCACTGGTTTGTCTTCACTCCCTCAGGTTCCCCTGCTGCTGATCTGTGCTTCTGTTTTGGGCGGAATCCTGGGGAAAGTTGGGATATCTCTGGAATGGGAATGTTCACTGGTGTGGTCCCACCCAGCTCATCCCCTCAGCAGTTTTCCTGGAGGAAACTCATCCTCAGGGGTGGCCTGAGCCTCATTCCTTCCCTTTTGGTCTTTTATTTGTCTTTTATGGCACTGGACTATCGCAGGAAGGAGGGAATTTCAATTTCTGCAGTGCCACAGCACTCAGTGAGAGCCGTATTGTGCACTTCTTTCATTCTTTCACTTGTTTCATTATAAACCCCTAATTTTTATCTTAATCTAGTGCTAATTTGTTTCTTGAAAACAGAATTTTGATGATCTGTTGCTGTTTGTTCTCCACAGAGTTTTCTGCCTACTCCTTCTGGTCCTGGGCTGCAGCCAGAAGAAATCAGGACCATCCTATGGAAAAGAGTGTTGGAAGTACACAGGGAGCAGAGGTGGGCTGTGACTTTGGAATATTCCCTGAAATAGATCCATAAAGGCAATGTTTAATTATCAGATCTCAGGCAGTGTGGTTAAATTCACAATAAAATTCACAATTCCTAAAATTCTGCTGTTTGCTTGGTTGGCAAAACCATCTCCACTGGAAAAGGAAAAACCCCAACCAACCCAAAAAAAAGAGGGAAAAGAGGGAAATTCCTGGAATTCTCTGCTGAGCACCATTTCCAGCCTGGCCAGGGTGTGCCTGGAAGTTTGGAGGGAATGCCTTTGGCTCTGGTTTATCAGGAAGCTCCGCTCCAGCTTGTTTGTCCTGCTGGGAATTTGCATGGGAGGAGTGAGGCTGTGATTTGTAATATCTGAACCAGGCTCCAGGGCCGCTGGAATTTGCCACAATTCCCTGAGTTTGTCTGGAGGTGTGGAAATGTAAATATCAACCTGAGCAAAATGCTCAGTTCTTCTCTCTAAAGCCTTGGCAGAGCACCCAGGGGGCCCCAAGTAAATGGATTTTTGGGTGATTGCATCTCATCCCTGTGAACTTTCCACCCTGCCCTTCTCCAACACGTCTGTGCCACCTTCCTTAGCATTCCCTTGGGATGCACTTAAAAAGAAATAAATTGAATTTACACTTAAAAAATTTAATGCTATGACAGTGCAAAGTGCACTTAAAATTCAGATGATGCAGCTTGTCTGAAGTGAAATTTATTTAACTGGGGTAAGGGGTTGGTTGTTGGTGTTAAAATTGAGATTTCTCTGCGTTTAGTGCTGTTTATTCCACACTTTTCAAGTCGGATCTGAAGGACCTCAATCCTCTTGATTTTTGGGAATCCACTCGAGGCATTTTTAAGGCTCAGGAGGACAAATAGATGAAAGAAATAACGTGAACTTGAGTTCCTTTTGCAAGTTCCAGCCCTCTGTGAGGGGTTCTGGCCAGCAGAAGGCACCACCAGCTCAGCTCTGCGCCGCTCGCCGGCGTTCCCGGCTGCATCTCCAGGCTCCCAGCAGGATTTGGCAGGGAATTCATCATCCCACACCTCGGGTGCTCACGATTCCCTCTGAACGATGTGTCCCCTTGCTGTTGCAGGCCTGAGGGGTGAGGGTTTCCCTGTGCAGTGATGCCCGGGATGGGTGTGCTGGCCGCAGCCCTTCTCCCCTTCCTCATCCTCTCCGGACGCTGGGCTTCAGCTGAGAACATCAACTTCTACAACATCAGGCCTCCACTGGACCGTAAGTAGCTTTTCTTTTTTTTTTTTAAATGGAATTCTGGCCTTTTCTGTACAGAATTCTAGCTTAAAATTGTAAATATTCGCCCCATCCTTCCGGTGTTTGGGTTTCACCGTTCGTCTCCAAAGAAACTTTAAAATAAACATTCTGCTTCTCAACCCACAGCTCTTTGTCCTTAACATTTGACAAGTTGACTAAATGAAAATGAATGCAGTCATTGCCAAGTTAAAGAGTGCACGAGGAGTTTGGCACTTTAAGGGCTTTTCTTGTATTATTTCTGTCTCCCTGCAGAGGGAATTATGCAGCGGTTTCCTCGTAAATAATCCAGAACAGGTGGTTTTGGTCTTTTATCTTGTTGGGGGTTTTGTAAGGGGAGGAATAGGTGTTGCTGCATGCAATTAATTCACTCTGAAGGTAATTAAAAACCTCGTGGGACCTGTGAAGCCAGTTGGCACTAATGGCATCTCCTTTTTTTTGCCTCTTATCTGGCATCACCAGTGTTCCATCCCTTCATTTGCATTATCTGCAGCCAGGAAAAAAAAGGATAAAAAAAAAAAGGCAGCCAGGATATAGTAGCTGGAAATAATACCTGCCCCTAGTGAACCCTGCACCTTCCAATAATTCATTGTGTTCATGGAAATAAGATTTTAAAAGACCTTTTGTTTGAAGGATCCAACTTCTCCTTCAGGCTCTGGAGCTGCTTTGGAAATGCAGTTTTTCCATCAAAGGGAAATGTAGATTTATGTTTGCTCCACGAGGAGGGAGATAAACTCTTCCTTCTTTCCTGCCTTTCCCACCACTGCCTCAATTTTGGATTATGAGAGTGAAAACACGAGGATATATTTTGAGTTCAAGCCTAGAGAAAACCAAAAGCTTTCTGCAAAACTTGTTTTATTTGTCTGACAGTGAAAAGATGTAAATATATATAATTTACTCTTGTAAATACATGCGTGTACAAGCATAATTTTGAATATTTTAATTTTTTTCTCCATACTTCCCAACTAACTGTATTTTAATGCTTTTTTAACCCTTCCCAAGCCACTCCGTTCCCAAACAGTTTCAAGTGCTTCACCTGTGACAACGCAGTGGACAACTACAACTGCAACAGATGGGCTGAAGACAGGTGGTGTCCTGAGAGTGAGTAATGCTGCATGAGGAGATATTCAATATTTGTGGCATTTAAACTTGCTTCTCCCTGACTCAGCCCCTGGAGGAGTCGGGCTCGTTCATGGCATTCATGTGCCAGCACAGTTTTGTGGTTGGTAATGCTGAGTCAGGTAATTTCTGCTGATGGGACAATTTTGGCCCTTCCAGAGTGTAAAGAAACAGTGAAAAATTCTTTATCTCCATCTCTCTCTGCTTTATATAATATATAACAAAAATATTAATATGCAAGCATTTAAAATAATGTTAATATTTTGGTATTGAATTAAATATTATTATGAACTTGAATATTAATATGTGAATACAACATTATTTAAATAATTTTAATATTTAATAATAGATCAGTGTTAATTACCTGTGTATATATCTAATTATGTTCTTCCCAAGAGTTAATTTTAATCTTGTTTAAAAAACCTGAAGAATTTCCTCTGTAGCTTTATTCTCTTCAGAGTGTAAAGCAACAGCGAAAAATTATTTATCTCCATCTCTCTGTTTTACATCATATATAAATAATATTGATCATATTAATATACATATTTTAATAATATACAATATTCATTATAATAATACACAATATTAATTAACTACATGTGTTTCTCTGTGTAGATAATGATGTGCTACCCAAAAGTTAGGTTTAATCTTGTTTAAAACTCCTGAAGAATTTCCTCTGTAGCTTTTTTTACTTCAGGGTTGTAAAGCAACAGTGAAAAATTATTTATCTCCACCTCCCAGTTTTATATAACAAAAAAAAAATTCAAACAGATTTTTAATAGTACATCCATATTAATTAACTATCTGAATAATACACAATATTAATTAACTACATGTTTCTCTGTGTAGATAATGATGTGTTTCCCAAGAGTTAGGTTTAATCTTGTTTAAAACTCCTGAAGAATTGCCTCTGTAGCTTTATTTTCTTCAGGGTTGTAAAGGAGCAGTGAACAATTATTTACCTCCATCTCCCAGTTTTATTTAACGAAAAAAAAAAATTCAAACAGATTTTTAATAATACATCCATATTAATTAATATCTATGTTTCTCTGTGTATATATACATAATGATGTGCTTCCCAAGAGTTAATTTAAAGATGTTGTTTAAAAAAGCTGAAGAATTTCCTCTGCAGCTTTATCCCCTTCCCTTTGGATCCCATCCCAAAATTCCATGTTCTCAGTGAGCAGCAGGACCTGCCTGACTGGGGCTCACACCTGTGCTGGGGAGGATGAAGCTCAGAAAGAATGGAAATGTTTCCTCATTTTTCACCCCGCTGACATTCGCGGGAACGGTGGGAAAGGGGAAGAAGCAAAGCAGAGGAATGAGGAAACAAGCCTGAAACCACGCAGGAAGGTGCTGCCAAAAAGAGGAGAGAAATAAAAATAAACGTGTGGGCGATGGCGCTAATTAGTAATTCCAATCAAAGCAGCCTTGCTGGAGGTTTGAAGGGTCAGCTGAGATTTCACAGGAATTAATTTCTAGCTAAATGCTCTTTTCATCAAGTTGCAAATGATTCCGTAGAGCCGTTTTCTGGGAATGCTTTCCTGAGCCGTGTGTGGATGAGAAAGGCCGTCCCCAGGGTTCAGTGGTGGCAATGATTTGCCTGATTTGCTCCTGCAGGCACTCGGTACTGCCTGACCGCTCACCTGTTCACGGCGCGCGGGGAGAGCACCTCGGTCACCAAGAGATGCGCCACGGGCGAGGAGTGTCACCTGGTGGGGTGCCACCGCCGCGGGGACAGCGGCCACACGGTCAGCGCCGCGCTGCGCTCGCGTCCTGCTCGTGTCCTGCTCCTGCTCTGCTCCTGCTCTGCTCCTGCTTTACTCCTGCTCTGCTCCTGCTCTGATCTGCCTGTGTCCTACTCCTGCTCTGCTCCTGCTTTACTCCTGCTTTACTCGTACTCTGCTCCTGCTCTGCTCCTGCTCTGCTCCTGCTCTGCTCCTGCTCTGCTCTGCCTGCTCCTCTTCTACTCCTGCTCTGCTCCTGCTCTGATCTGCCTGTGTCCTACTCCTGCTCTACTCCTGCTCTGCTCTGCCTGCTCGTCTTCTACTCCTGCTCTGCTCCTGCTTTACTCCTGCTCTGATCTGCCTGTGTCCTACTCCTGCTCTGCTCCTGCTCTGCTCCTGCTTTACTCCTACTCTGCTCCTGCTCTGCTCCCGCTCTGCTCTGCCTGCTCCTCTTCTACTCCTGCTCTGCTCCTGCTCTACTCCTGCTCTGATCTGCCTGCTCGTGTCCTATTCCTGCTCTAGTTAGGTTTTACTCCTACTCTGCTCCTGCTCTACTCCTGCTCTGCTCTGCCTGCTCCTCTTCTACTCCTGCTCTGCTCCTGCTCTACTCCTGCTCTGATCTGCCTGCTCGTGTCCTGCTCCTGCTCTGCCTGCTCCTCTTCTACTCCTGCTCTGCTCCTGCTCTGCTCCTGCTCTTCTCCTGCTCTGATCTGCCTGCTCGTGTCCTGCTCCTGCTCTGCCTGCTCCTCTTCTACTCCTGCTCTGCTCCTGCTTTACTCCTGCTTTACTCCTACTCTGCTTCTGCTCTACTCCTGCTCTGATCTGCCTGCTCCTCTTCTACTCCTGCTCTACTCCTGCTCTGATCTGCCTACTCCTGCACTGCTCCTGCTCTACTCCTGCTTTACTCCTGCTCTGCTCTGCCTGCTCGTGTTCTACTCCTGCTCTGCTCCTGCTTTACTCCTGCTTTACTTCTACTCTGCTCCTGCTCTACTCCAGCTCTGATCTGCCTGCTCCTGCTCTGCTCCTGCTCTGCCTGCTCGTGTTCTGCTCCTGCTCTGCTCCTGCTCTGCTTTGCCCTAATTGTGTTTGATTTGTACACTGTTCCTGGTCTACTCATACCCTGCTCCTTCTCTACTCTTTCTCTACTTATGCTCTACTCGTACTCTGCTCCTCCTCAATTCCTGCTGTACTCCTGCTCTGCTCTGCCTGCTCATGTTCTGCTCCTGCTCTACTCATACCCTGCTCCTGCCCTACTCCTTCCCTACTCATGCTCTGCTCCCTGCTCCTGCTCTGTTCCTGCTCTGTTCTGCCCTGCTCATGTTCTACTCGTACCCTGTTCCTGCTCTACTCATACCCTGCCCTGCTTGTGTTCTACTCCTGCCCTTCTCCTGCCCTGCTCCTGCCCTGCTCCTGGGGCTGGAGGTGGCCATTCCAGGGCTGGTTTTTCCAGGAGGATGTGCCAAGAGCTGCTCTGCACTGGGAGCAATGGGATTTCTGCATGCTCTGCACTGGGAGCAATGGGATTTCTGCATGCTCTGCAGTGGGAACAATGGGATTTCTGCATGCTCTGCACTGGGAGCAATGGGATTTCTGCATGCTCTGCACAGGGAACAATGGGATTTCTGCATGCTCTGCACTGGGAGCAATGGGATTTCTGCATGCTCTGCACTGGGAGCAATGGGATTTCTGCATGCTCTGCACTGGGAACAATGGGATTTCTGCATGCTTTGCACAGACCACAAAACCTGAAGGGGAAAACTGAGTGGAAACAAAGTTTTAGAGTCTGAATTTCTCAGTTTAATAGAAGTTGAAAGGTTGCAGAGCACATTTTGAGTTGATGTGCTAGAAAGGGAAGCTCTGTTTCCTGCAGTGTCAGTGTGGCTCTGTGACATCCCACCTCAGCTTGGGGACACACCTGGGGATGAGTGACTCCAGGAGAAAACTGCTCTCCTGATCTGGATAATTAATTCATGGATAAATTGGATTTCAGGATGATTTTTAGCGTATCTGCTTCACCTTCTGCCCTGGCCAGGATGGGTCTGTTCAGCTCAGCTTCGCGACACTAAACGCGCATTTCTCTCTTGAATTAATTACCTTGAATTAACTACCCTGAATTAATTCCCCCGAGTTAATTACCGCGATTTAATGACCCTTTTCTCCCAGCAGGAGTGTGTTTCCTGCTGTGAAGGCATGATCTGCAACGTGGAGATCCCCACCAACGCCACCAACGCGGTGTTCGCCGTGCTGCAGGCGCGCAGGACGGCCGCGGGCAGCCGCGCCCTGCCCAGCCTGCTGCCACTGCTGGCACTGCTGCCACTGGTGACAGTGGCACTGTCCTGACACAGCACCCCCGCACAGAGCTGCTGGGACAGTCCCCGGGCCAGGAACCCCCAGGGTCTCCAAGGAGAAGTGGCTGATGTTCCCTCGTCCCAGCAGATTTAAGGAAAGGCGCGTCCTGCTCTCCTTGCGTGTTTTAGTGGGAATCCTTCCCCGTCAGTATTGAAAATAAACCCCACAAACACCCCCAGTGGGGAGGACTCAATGTTTAATTCCCTGTTTTCTGAGGAAAATGCACATTTTTGTGGTTTTTGGGACAGAGCTGTGACAATCACAATCAAAAGGAGCCTTGGGTGGATCATCTGGAAAGGTGGGAACTGGATTTAAACCTTTTATGTGCAGAAACAGCTCAGAGTTTCTTATCCAGGTGTGTTTGAGCTTATCTTGATTTCATAGCGAGCACCTCTGGTTTTCATAGAGAACAAATATGAGGTGGGGGTTTTTTTCTGCTTGATCAGAGCTCTTATTTCTCCTGGCAATAATACAAAATTGATTCTTTTCTTTCTGTAAAATGTCTCATCCTCCTCCTGTTTTAAATCAGTGGGAAATGTAGAATTCCTAAAAATCCTGTTGCAGCACCCAGAGCAGAATTCCTGATCTTCCAAAGCAAAGGGATTATTTCCTTGCAAATGAGTCTCACCTCAGAATATCACAAAAATATTATTTTTGTGATATTGGGATGTCACCACTTTCAAATCACAGCTACGGTCACGCAGCTTCATTATCCTAAAAATTCCAAGTGGACACTTGGAATAAATAAGGAGAGAACTCTGCTATGTTCTCTCTTGATTTGCACAGTGTTTTTCCAGGAATATTATTGTCCTGGCGGATGTTTTCAGGAAGGATGGATCACTTAAACTGACTCAAAAAAGAGATTTGGAGCTGTTCCCCGAAAAATTCGAGTAGCTACAAATTTGGCTTCTTTTACATCAATATTGCCTTAATTATTTTTTTGTTTGTGTCACTGATTATGTTTAGTTATAAAAAAGATTTTGAAATATTTCCAGGCCTGTTGACATTCCGAAATTTCCTCCACAATATTCTTAGAATGCAGAAAGGTGTCTGAGTTCAGTCTGTGGCTCCTGGATGGGCGATTGTGCAGCCACAAATCCCACAAAGTTTGGATGGAAAAGCTTTGTCCTTGAGCAAGGAAAACAGTTCTTGATGTCTGAGTCAAGGTTTTCCAAGATCTGGATTCTCATGAGTCTCTCACTCCTCAAGATCTGGATTCTCTCTTTCCATATGTGTCAATAATTTACAATAATCTCAGTACTGAGTTTTGGGGTTTTTATAGTGGAAATGCAATTCCAGAGCTTTTGGCAATGTCAGGGAGGCCCTAAAAAACTGCTGCAGCAACAAAAAATAGACATTTCAGGAGGTTTTATTTTCCTCTGTTGAATGATTTTTTTTTTCCCCTCACTGGAAAGTGAAGAAATTCTGAAATGAAGATTTTAAACCTCATAAAATGCCTCTGCTTTTGGGAAAGAATTGTTTGGGATAAACCCCAATAAATCAGCTGAAGGTTGAAGGATGCAGCCTGGGCATGTGAAGGGATTTGACCTCGGATTTTATTTTTGAAAATCAGAATTTTAGAATTCCAAAAGTGGAGGATATTAATGATGAATTTTAATCATTGGGATGCACCAATCCCTTTGTTATTGCAAATCTTGGGATTCTTTTTAATGGGGAATTGAATATGCAAATGCTCTTAATGCAATGCAAGGAGGCACTTGGTAGAAGAAATATGGAATTTAAGAGAGAATTTCAGTTTTTCCTCTTGCTTCATCCTTTTTTATAGAAAATCCTGCTTGGATTTGCCATGAAATGCTGATTTTGTAGGAAAAACGTGCTGAGAAAAGAGTATTGAAATTCACCATATTTTTGGCAGGATTAATGACTGTACAGAAATCCGACCTTAATTTATGGCGGAATTTTTATATTAAATATTTTCAGGTATCAGAATTTTCAGCTCTCTGAAGAATTTAAAAAAGTATTACTGGATTTGATAAAACCAATTTTCAGTGATGTCCTTGTCTCAGTTTGGGTTCAGATGTTGTAATTTAAATTACAGATGTTGTAATTTAAATACATTCAATTTTTCATGTGATAAAAGCAATTTTCACTGATCTCTTTATCTCAGTTTGGGTTCACAGATACTGTAATTTAAATATGTTCCAATTTTCTTTTGATAAAACCAATTTTCTGTGATGTCTTTATCTCAGTTTGGGTTCACAGATGTAATAATTTAAATATATTCAATTTTTCATTGCCTAAATCCACCCCTAAACTTTGGGAAAGATGTTTCTGTAAATCCATCCATTTTTGAACCCGAAAATAATTCAGAAATAATGGCAAATCCATTTATTTGTGCAGTTAAATGTATTTTTTATTACATATCTATATACGTGTGTAATATGATTTTTATTTACATTGCACTGGACAGCCTATAGAAGGTTTATATTTTTAAAACTTAAATCCTGATAAATTCTTCATTATTCAGTGTTTGGATGTTTTCTAATTGCTGTGTAACTGCTTTAAAACTCCTGCAGAAATGGCACTTTTAATAAAAAATACTCAAATATTTTCTGGTGGAGAACGTTTCTGGTGACAAATATTGCTTGGTAAAAATCTTAATTTAAATGAAATTCTGCCCTGACTTCAGCATAATTTAAATTTCATTTTCTTTGCTGTATCCCAGGATTATTTTTGGGAATATTTGCCCTCCCTTTTTAAGGTAATTTATTCTGTTAGAGACCCTCGGTGCCCAGAGATATTTGAAAGCGTGAAGAAAACTTAATTTTATTTGCATTTTTTAAAAAACTCTGATTGCTGGAATCATGGCTAAAAGAATTTTAATTGTAGTTTTGTAGTGTTAATGAAAATAAAAAGAAATCTCATTTATTCTGCTGTTGGCATCAAGGAGAGGCAGAAAATGCAGCTGCAGGCTGGGGGGAGAGAGTGGGAAACAGAAAAGAAAAAATATCTTGAATAGTCATAATTATTTTTGAATATGTAAAAGGAAATTATTTAAGGATTTAAAGGTCACCTCACAAAGTTAATTTGGGGTAATTTGTGCCAATTTCAGTGTGGTTTGTTGGGGACTTTTATTTTTGAATTTCGTGAGGGGAGTTGCGATCTTTGTCTTTTTTTAGTTTATATATATATTTATTTATTTTTTATGGACTGTGTAATAATTTGGGAATTTTATAATTTATATTTATCTTGGGGAATTTTGAAGTTCTTATAATTATTTTTTTTTTACTTTTTGTAGTTTTTTATTTTTTGGGGTGATTTTCAAATTCTTTGGTTTTTGTACCAATTTTTTACTGGTTTTTTTGGTGGTTTTTAAACATTCTTTATCTTTTTTCTTCTTTTTTTCTTCTGCATTTAAAAGTTTAACAAATCCAAGTCAAAAAGTTTGACTAATTCAGGTATAAAAATTAAAAAAATCCAAGTTTAAAAGTTTGACTATTGAGGTTTAAAAGTTTGGCTAATCCAGATCTAAAAGTTTGAAAAAACCAAGTTCAAAAGTTTGACAAATCCAGGTCTAAAAGTTTCACTACTCCAAGTTTAAAAGTTTGGCTAGTCCAGGTTTAAAAATTTAGCAAATCCAAGTTTAAAAGCTTGGCTAATCCAGGTTTTAAAGCTTGACAAATCCAGGTTTAAAAGTTTGACAAAACCAAGTTTAGATGTTTGACTAATCCAAGTTTAAAATTTTGGCTAGTCCAGGTTTAAAAGTTTAGCAAATCAAAGTTTAAAAGTTTGGCTAATCCGGGTTTTAAAGTTTGAGAAATCCAAGTTTAAAAGTTTGATTTACTCAGATTTAAAAGTTTAATAAATCCCACTTTAGATGTTTGGCTAATCCATCTTTAAAAGTTTGCCAAATCCAAGTTTGAAAGTTTGACAAAATCCAATTTTAAAAACTTGACAAATCCAGGTTTAAAAGCTTGGGTAATCCAAGTTTAAAAGTTTAACAAATCCAAGTTCAAAAGTTTAACAAATCCAAGTTCAAAGTTTGATTTACGCAGATTTAAAAGTTTAACAAATCCAAGTTCAAAGTTTGATTTACGCAGATTTAAAAGTTTAACAAATCCAAGCTCAAAGTTTGGCTAGTCCAGGTTTAAAAGTGTGACAAATCCAGGTTAAAGTTTGATTTACGCAGATTTAAAAGTTTAACAAATCCAAGTTCAAAGTTTGATTTACGCAGATTTAAAAGTTTAACAAATCCAAGTTCAAAGTTTGATTTACGCAGATTTAAAAGTTTAACAAATCCAAGTTCAAAGTTTGATTTACGCAGATTTAAAAGTTTAACAAATCCAAGTTCAAAGTTTGATTTACGCAGATTTAAAAGTTTAACAAATCCAAGTTCAAAGTTTGATTTACGCAGATTTAAAAGTTTAACAAATCCAAGTTTCAACGTTTGGCTAGTCCGGGTTTAAAAGTGTGACAAATCCAAGTTTAACAAACCCGAGTTTCGACCTGGCTAATCCCGGTTTAGAAGTGTGACTAATCCAGGTTTAAAGTTGCTGTTCATGACCCAGCTGTAGCTGCCCGAGGGCTCGGCTCAGGATTTCAGGATTGATTTATTCCTTTCTGGAGCTGGTTCCTTTCTGGGTGAGGGATTTGCCCCAGTGCTGCTGCTTCAGCCATTAATTAATTCATTAATTAATAGCCATAAATAACCGCTGCAGTCCCATCAAACTTGTCAGGAGAGCCCAGCCTGGCTCCTGGCACGCAGCAATTCCACTTTTCTTCACAGGGACTATTTTAATAGTTCCTAGTGACTGAAGGCTCTAAATCTCAGCAGCTGAAATGCGCAGTTCTAAAATGGAAACGTTTCACAAGCTGAATAATATCCAAAAATATCATGGAACATAAAATCCCACAGTGGTTTGGCTTGGAGGGGCCTTAAAACCCAACTTGTTCCACCCTTTCCAGGGCAGGGACACCTCCCACAATCCCAGATAAATGTTGAATTACCCTTAATTTATTAATAGTTATTAATTAATTTATTAATATTTATTAATATTCCTCCAATTTAAAAAAAAAATTCCAAGATTTTCAAATATAATTCCTATTCTAACCTGTCAGGCCATTAGGTTTCTCTGCCTCCGGCAGCTCTGTTTCAATTTTATTTAAATTTCCAAAAGCTCCCAAGATCTCCCCTGTGAACATTCCTGAAAAATTTTGGGTTCAGCTGAAATGTCACCGTCAATGCCCTTTGTAATTTCATTTCATGGGCTTTATATTTTTAATTCAAATGTTCTATTTTATTAATTATTATTCTTAATCCATTTTCTTAATCCTCTTTGTATTAAACTTCTTTCAGACAGGGAATTTTAAAAAAATATCCAGAAAAATATCAGATGCACATTTTTTCGTCAAAAATTGGCCTCAGCTTGTGGCTGAAAATGAAATTTGAAAATCTGTGGGCTTTAAAGGAGAATTGAAATAGAAATTTTTTAAATGGGAATTGGGAAGATTAGTTTTGTTAGGCTCAAGCTAGACTGAAGAAAAAAAATCCAAAATAAGTGTGGAAAAAAGTGGAATTCTGCAGAAAAAAAGAGGATTGGGAAAGTGCAGGAATTAGGAGAGAAGGAGCAAGGAATGAGCTGTCCCTGCACAGCCTGGGGAGAGAGAGGCTCTGGAATAAACCAATGAGAGGGAAATTTGGGAATTCTGTGGGGAGGAAAGGCAAAACATGTGAGGAAACTTGATTTGGGGAAATGTTCCTTAAAGGCAGCGTGAGGACTGACAATGCCCAGGGATTCATCCTGGAATTCCAGGCTGGGAACTGCCTGTGGGACCTGGAACTGTGGCTGGGACAGGGAGGGAAGAGCTTTGGGAAGGAGAGAGGTTGTAGGGCCCAGCTGTGACTGGGATCTGGGATTGCACATCCCAGTTTAGGATCTGGGTTTGCACATCCCAGTTTGGGATCTGGGTTTGCCCATCCCAGTTTAGGATCTGGGTTTGCCCATCCCAGTTTGGGATCTGGGTTTGCCCATCCCAGTTTGGGATCTGGGTTTGCACATCCCAGTTTGGGATCTGGGTTTGCCCATCCCAGTTTAGGATCTGGGTTTGCCCATCCCAGTTTGGGATCTGGGTTTGCCCATCCCAGTTTGGGATCTGGGTTTGCACATCTCACTTTGGGATCTGGGTTTGCACGTCCCAGTTTGGGATCTGGGTTTTCCCATCCCAGTTTGGGATCTGGGTTTGCACATCCCAGTTTGGGATCTGGGTTTGGACATCCCAGTTTGGGATCTGGGTTTGCACATCCCAGTTTGGGATCTGGATTTGCACATCCCAGTTTGGGGTCTGCGTTTGCACATCCCAGTTTGGGATCTGGATTTGCCCATCCCAGTTTGGGATCTGGGTTTGCACATCCCAGTTTGAGATCTCAAAGGAGCAGAGTGCAGCTGCTGCTGCTTCCAGAGACAGCTGAATTCCCGAAAACCCTTGTGCAGGGGAATTCCTGCTGGCAGCAGGGTGCTGGCACGGGCAGCAGGACAGTTCCCGTCTGTCAGCAGCCCTTCCAGAGCTGTCATTACCCCTCGGCTCCCTGCAGCTGCTGTGGAATTTCTTGTCCTGGGGCGAGGAATTCCAGAGCTCCCCCGTGTGACCCCCGGCCCTGGCTGCCATCACTCCTGTAAATCTCTCTGCCCTCACTCCAGATGATTTTGGAGATAGTAAAAGTGCCTGGATTTCAGTGGGTTTGGGGTTTTTTTTGTTACTTTACTGTTGAAAAAAAACCCACAAAAAAGATGGGGAGTAACTGTTTGGAGAAGGGTATCGGTGGTTTGGATAAAAGGACAATCTGGTGGATAAAAACAGAGAAAAAGCTTCCATAAATATCCAGAGCGCTGCTGAAATGGAGCCCAAACACCATCCCAGGCGTCTTTGGGTCCGTCTGGGTGCCTCATCCCAGAGCAGCTCCATGTCCCTCATGCCGGGGGCTCCAGAACTCTCCTTGGCCTCATTCCCTTCATCTCTCCACCTCGTTCCATTCATTGCTTATTGATTATTCCCATTTTTTATCTTTTTGTTGCTGGTGGTGTGATGGGGCTGAAGGCACCTTTGCAACCCAACAAATCCTTGCAGGCTCTTTTCGGGCTCTTTTTGGGTTCTTTTTCAGCTGTTTTTGAGCTCTTTTTAGGCCCTTTTTGGGCCCTTTTCAGGGTCTTCTCAGGCCCTTTTCACTCTCTTTTTAGATATTTTGCAGGTTCTTTTTACGCCCTTTTAATGCACTTTTCAGGCTCTTTTCACTCCCTTTTTAGACCTTTATCAGGTTCTTTTTAAGCTCTTTTCAGACTCCTTTTATGCCCTTTTCAGGCCTTTTTAAGGCTCATTTTATGCTCTTTCCAGGCTCTTTTCAGGCCCTTTTTAGGCTCTTTTCAGGCTCCATTCCAGGTTCTTTTTAGACTCCTTTTAGGCTCTCTTCAGGCTCTTTTCAAGCTCATTTTTAGTGCCTTTTCAGACCCTTTTTCCAGACTATTCAGGCTCTTTTTATGCCCTTTTCAGGCCCTTTCTAGGCTCTTTTTATGCCCTTCTCAGGCCTTTTTTAGGCCCTATTAAAGGCCCGTTTTAGG